GAACAAATGTGTGTATATATATATATATATATATACTTAGTGTGTGTGTGTGTATATATTTAATATGTAAAAAAAAAATTCAGATAGAGTATATCTGTAAAAGGACAATATGAATAAAGACAAAAGGAAAACTTATCTTAGTTGACATGTTTTGTCCTATGAGAGATTTTATCAAGTCCCTCAGAGGACAAAACATATCAGCTAAAATAAGTTTTGCATTTTTATATATATATATATATATATATACAGAGAGATAGAATAAGGCCGAGTCAATGCTAGATATAGGATTTTTTTATAATTTCCTGTGTGTAAATGTTATATATATATATATATATATATATTAGTGTGGACACATGAATCAACACTGTATGGTAACTGTCAGTTTCACACCATGGGTCACTACTCATTCGACAAGTCCTAAGTCCTATATATTATATATATATATATATATATATATATATATATGTGTGTGTGTGTGTGTATGTATATATATGTGGTGGGTTTAGTGATGTGGGGTGGGGAAAGGAGAAGACTGTGCCTTCCCAGTTCTTTTATTTAGGGTCCATGCTTAGGGTTATTTATGGTTATGACCTCTGGATTGCCAAATTTATTTATATATTCATTATTTTTTTTTTTTTTTTTCAATTATTGTTTATTTTCTATATTTTTTTCTTTCATGAATTTCTCTTTGGTTACAAGTTTTGGTATTTGAAAACATTTTTACAGGTTATAAGATTACTACTATATAACAAATTTGAAACTATATATATATATATTAATTTTCTTTTATATATATATATATATATATATATATATATATATATTATTCTCTTTATATATATATATATATATATATATATATATATATTATATATTTATATATATATATATTAATTTTCTCTTATATATATATATATATATTAATTTTCTCTTTATATATATATATATATATATATATATTTTTCTTATATATATATATATATATATATTAATTTTCTCTTTATATATATATATATATATATATTAATTTTCTCTTTATATATATATATATATATATTAATTTTCTTTATATATATATATATATATATATATATATATATATATATATATATGAGAGACAAGCATGGATACATGTAGAGATATATATAAGCATATCAACAAGTGTGTGAGTACATATATAAATAAAAGAATTATATATATATATATATATATATAAAGATGTAAGAAACAGCAAATATTTTTATATATAGTGATCAATATTAAAACTATTAAAATAATATTAAAAATAGAGCATTAATCATATTATATGAAATTAGTGATGAGATTACTTAACTTTTAAATATCAATTTTATCAACTGATATTTAAAAGTAATCTTTTCATATAATATTCTACATATATATATGTGTGTGTGTGTGTGTGTGTGTGTGTGTGTGTATATAAGGGGAGAAATATAGCTGACTTAGAGATGAAGTGGCTGAAATAGATGCAGCGTATGGGTAGTTCAGATTTTAAAAGTACACAAATATACTGATTAGTATGACACATAAAAATATTGGGTCACTCTAAATAGGGGAGAGCAAAAATCTTGGCCTGTTTTAATAACCAACCCTCAAAATACTGGCTTTTCACCTGCATCTAAACACTATTTATGCACACCAAAGAATACTACATTGATAGATAGATAAATATGAACAGACTGAGATAGATAGTTATAAATGAACAAAGAAAGATATATATATATATATATATATAAGTAACAAAAATGGTAGATATAAAAATGATGTGGATAGTTAAACGAGTGTTTTTTTTTTTTTTTTTAAATTTTTATATTTAAATCTTCGTAGATACATAGATATTTCACTTGTATAAGCGGGATTTTTCAAATAGTAAATAATGTATGTGGGCAGAAAGCATGAAAGACTGGGATGCAAGATACTCACTCATAGGCTAAGATTCACACCAACTGTTTAAGGTCTCATCATTGAGACCATGACTCTTATACACACACACAACTAAATAGTCATAATAATACAGAGATTAGTATTAAAATAACACTCACATAAGTGTAAGTAATAAATTACTGACCTTCACACAAAGTGTATGATAATGTCATTTCATGATAACTTTTTGAACAGAAAAAAAAATATTAAACCCATTTTCTTCCTTTCATTTGTTTTTTAATGAAAACATTCCAGAAAATTTATCTCCACGAAACACAGAATTCAAGGCTAGATATTTTTAACAATGATACTTCTACAATAAGAGAGAAAAAATGTACAAAAAAACCAAAAATCCAGGGGTGTTGGATTGACCGTAAGCATCAAAGAATGCCATGAAATTCTCCTAGAGAAATGGAGAGATGTTGACTAGGAAAAAGAAAAAGAAAAAAAAAATTGTCTCTGATACTTCAGTCAATCACTCTGAGGCTATTTTCCAGATGAGGGAGGCCAAAGATTCACAAAAGACAACGCGTGGAAATATGCTTGTGGTGAAGCTATTTTTAAAGTTTCTTCGCTTTTCCACAAATACCGACAACAAAATCCAGAGGACAAATGTGCACCTTAAGTTGTTATGAAAAAGCAATGGCTGGAATATTTAAGTTTTTCTTTCTAATCAGATACACACTCTAACACTCGTGTATATTTGTCAGAGAAGCCATTTAATTACAATTGAAAAATCATATATATATATATATATATATATATATATATATATATATATATATATATATATATATATATATATATATATATATATATATATATATATATATATATATATACACACATTTCTGTAAATACGTTATTTTTATTAATACACCTATTTAAGTAAATGCCCTGTTTATAATAAACAGTATTAATTACATTTACCCGTCTGAATGCTTAAGAAATTTCATAGAAAATATGTCCTCCAACAGGAATCAAACCTTCATCCTACACGGAACCATCATTCAGCCTCACGTACTATACCAATTAGCTACAGTGAAAGCATCTTGTTAGTAAAGTCAAATTACTGTTTTTGAACAAATTTCCCATGATCTGCTCATAGCGTATTTTAACGTAAACAAATGACAATGTACATTATGAAATGGACTAAGTAAATGTAATTAATTCTGTTTATTATAAATAGAGCTGCTAAGATACGCTTCAAACAGATATGATCACTCAAGAAAGATCATGGGAAATTTGTTTTTTTTAAAAACAGTAATTTGACTTTGATAACCAGATGCTTCCTCTGTAGCTAAATGGTATAGTACGTCGGACCAAATGATGGTTGTGTGTAGTATAGAGGTTCAATTACCATCAGAGGGCATATATTTTCTATGAAACTTCTCAGACATTCAGGCCAGTAAACGTTGTTAATCTTGTTTGTTATAAACAGAGCATTTACTTAAATATTTGTATCTATAAGAATAACGTATAAATATAAAATATATTAAAATAATTGTCGGACTTAGTCCATTTTATGATATATATATATATGTGTGTGTGTGTGTGTTTATCAGATATAACTAAAAATAAAAAATATATCTGTAAAATTAATAGAACAATATGGATAAAAACAAAAGAAAACCTTATATTTGCCAATGCATTTCATCTGCTAATGAACTTTATCATTTGCTTTGACAAAATCCATCAGAGGGCGAAATGCATTAGTTAACATAAGTTTTCCTTTTGTCTTTTATATATATATATATATATATATATATATATATATATATATATATAAAATAAACTGATGTTTAAAATTGGCTTTAAAAACCTTCAAAAAAATTTAAAATTCTAGTCTTAACAAACTTTTGGCATTACTGTCAGTTTCATGATATAAATCAATTTTCAAATACAAGGTTCTGAATTTATATTGTGAAAGTGAGAGTAATGCCAAATATCTTGTGAAGACAGGGATCCATAAAAATTTTAGACCCTTTTGCTGTTTTTTAAGGTAATTTCAAGCATCACCTAATATTTGATTTTATAGTCGCTCTATTACCGATATTGAGCACTGTTAACAACAAAAAAAAACAACAAAAACAAAACAACATAAGTGGCATTTATTATTATTATTATTTGAAATGTGTGTGTGTGTGTGTGTATATATATATGATAAAAATATAATTTTAAGGTGTGCTATATTTATGGTTAAAAGTGCTCAATATCCAGGACAGAGTGGGTATGAATATAGGAAGATAATGACGTCAACACTAAGCAGAGACAATCTGTTACATGCTTGAATATATTCAGTATGGCCTGAAGACTGCATTCAAGCATAAAACAGACTGTCACCACTCAGTGTCCACTCTTCATATATATCTACACACACACACACACACACACACACACTTGTTTGCATGAACATATGTATCTGTGTATATACGTATATGTGTGTACACATACATTTGGCTTTGAATATATATGTTTATAAATATATATACCCATAAATGTGTATGTGGGAAACTGTAAATGTATGTGCATATGTATGGCTGTTTGTATTAAACTGTGAATATGTTTATAAAAGGTGATACACAAACATTCACTGACACTTTGTATGTGTGTGTGTGTGAATGCGTATATAAAGTTATATAAAGTATGCATTTGTCCATGTGTTTTTTTTTTTACTACCTAGTTCTATAATTGTTGTTACAATTGCATACACATCTAATAAACTAAATGCAACAACTATTATGGGACAGACATAGCATCATATATATATATATATATGTGTGTGTGTTGGTGTGTAAAGGTTAAGCCCAATATTGAGCATTTTTATACAACTCAATTGATACATTTACAGGGGAGTGGAAAAAATATGAACAACAGTGGAGAAATTAACAGTAACCCACATTCAAGAAGCAAAAAACCAAATAAAGGCAATGAAGGGAAAGAGGGAGATGCTGAGGATGTTTCAGAGAGGAGGAGGAAGAGGAGGTTGGCAATGCAATGGTAGCAGCAGCAGCAGCAGTAGCAAGTATCCGCAAAAGAGACAAGCCAGGGCAGTAATCTCAAGAACTGGTCGACATCGAAGAACCAATGGCGCCAACTCGATACCAAACATGGTATTCCTCGACGCGTCGTATGAAATAGTAACCCAGCAAAAATCCGATAATCTGAAAAATAATATAAACAAAAAGAATCTTTAAGAAATGCTTCGACAGTAGCTGGCTGTAGAATAATTGTTAACAAGTTGGTCTCAAAGAACTCACCACATGTTGGCCTTGTGTTAGATTGACTGAGACTGAATATATACTCTTCATCTAGCAACATTAACTTTTATCACTTTATTTGCTGTACAAAAAGTTTATCCTATCACTGAAGGTGTCTCTGATCCCTGAATTTAAATTTGTTTGCATTTCATTGTTGTCATATCCTGCTTTGGCAACAGAAAACATCTTTGAATTTAAATCAACAATAAAGATACTGCAGTTAAGCGACCTTGAAAAAGAATGCAGTAGAAAGGGAAGTAATAATAATGCAGAGTGCTAAGGTTAAAACTGTAGCTGCAGGCTACACTCTAAATAAACCATTATCTGTCTGCTTTCACATAAAAAAAATTATTCTATTCTAAATATTTTTCACTCATCTTTGCTGACATAAAGATGAGTGGATTTCAAATTCTGCTGACTTGAACTGGGAAGATTATATTGAATCACTTGCTTGATCTACTGCAAGGAAAGTTGGTTCACTGTGTTGTAAGTCGACCCTTCGTCCACGCACTGAATATTGCTACCACATTTGGTCTGGTGCTTCTGTTATGTATTTAGAGATTTTTTTATAAAATATGAATAAGAATAATGTTATTGGTCCTGACCTGGCATCTCACCTTCAATCACTCTCCCACTGCCATAATGAAGCTTCCATGTGGCTTTTCTATAAATAATTTCAAAGGTGTTTGTTCTGATAGACTTTCTTTTACAGTACTTAGACTTTATGAATTGAAGTGCAGTACTAGATTGGCAGTAAGGTCTCATCATTTTACAGTTGAAATGGATAGATGTAACCGTAAGTTCTATGCTTCTTTTCTCACACTTCTGTTTTGTGGAACTCTCTTCCAGTTCCATACTTTCCAGTCAACTTTGATCTTCAAAAATTTAAATGCAATGTCAATCACTATCTTCTGTCTTCTTAATTCCTGTTCTTTAATGTTCATCTTGAGGTTCTTGACAAAATCCGAAGACGGATATGGAACGTGATCAGCCCTGACTGGGGGTCTTGATTCCAGTCACTTTCTCACAGATGTAATGTCACTTTCCTTTGTCTTTTCTATAAATATTTTCATGGCATCTGCTCTGACGAGCTATTTTCACTGGTGCTCCGAGTGCATGAATTTAAGCGTGCTACTAGGTTGGCAACTCTGTCCCACCCTTTTACTGTCAAAATAGTTAAATGTAACCACCTCTTCTGCTCCAACAGTTTTTTCTCTCACACTTCCTGACAGGGGAACTCCCTTCCTCTTACTTGCTTCCATGATAACTATAATCTTCAAAAATTTAAATGTAATATCAATCAACATCATCTGATGCCTTGATCCCTGTTCTTCTTTTTATCTTCACCCTCCCCACCTCCATATTCAGTCTTTATAATAAGACATTCATAAGACGCAGGTTGTACAGATCCTATAAAGGATATAATAAAGTTTTTATAGGCTTGTGTTCTTTTTTCCTATTATTTTTCAGTTAATTGTAATCATGGCTTGTTTAACCAAAATAATGCCTCCGAAATATATCCTAGCCTGTACCATTTACTAATAATTTTACTAATTACTAATTTTTTCTTAATTTACCCTGCTGAAATTGGGGTGCATCTTATATGTCGTCAAATACGGTATTATCTTTATTTTTTCAGTTATCATTGTTACATCTAAATCTAAGATCACTATATTATTAGTCTGATTGATGGAGGGTAACTTATCAAGCAAGATGGACTTACCTGGGGTATGGAACTTCCTAGTCCTACCATACCAACAATGTCCAGTCGTAGCACGAGTAAGGACCGCAGGTGGGGTGTACACCCCTCAGTATAGACATATGAGCTTGCCTGGGGATCCATAGTCTGTAATTAAAAAATAGAAACAAATATTTTTAATCCTTTCATGACTGAAATATTTCAGGGAGAGCCATGGTAGCATCAATTAAGGGTTAACTTGATTATGTTAAGCTCACATTAGGGTCTCCATGACTATAGAAGGCTCAGATGAGTGTGGCCTTAACTAAGAGTAACCTTGACACTTATGAGAATGGCTTTAGCTTTTTATGGTAACCCTGGCTCAAGTAGATTTACATAAAGGTACCTTGGAATGTGGTCGGTTCATCTAAAGTCTTTTTTTTTTATATCTTTTTGACAAATAAAAAAAAGATTTATTGCTGCAACATATTACATTAGATGTACAGGGTACAGCAAAAGCAATAAACATTTTTATTTATTACGTTTTATTGAACAAAAATAAATTACAGTAGTGTAGTGTTGCAGCTCAGAGCAGACACAAGGTTCATTCACAAAGTGCAGCTTTTTCCAGTCAAACACTTGCGGCTTAATACAAGGAAAATAATTCTTTGGCTGGATCGTTATCCAAGAAAAAAAAATAACATGAAACAAAATTGTGGCAATTGACCAATTTAATTCAGTTGCAATATTCTTGTAAGGACCAGTTGTAGAAAATGGGCAGTATAGTGAATAGGGGGTGAACAGTCTAAACAGCATATACCATCCTTTTGCGTATTGGGTGAGCAATCTTCTGGTTTAAGCTGCTAGGGAGCGCTGTCTTATAGAGACAGGCATTCTTTGCCCTGTCAGTTTTCATTTAAGTCATTCATCAAGAACCTAGGTTCGGTTGACCCGGTTCTTAGTCCATTTGACTCAGCTAATCTTTGTTAAGATGATAATTGTCAAAACAATTTCTGTAACATCCTGCAGATGTGTCCATAACAAGATATCAGGTGACAACTGATATCGCTACAGTAATTTAAGAAAATTGATAGGTACTAGTTTTAACCAGTGAAAATTTCATAGTTTTCCTATTTTAATATTCAGATGAATCTTAATTCTTAAGTTAATGATTGAGTAAGCTCATGGTGAATTCTACAACAATAAAATATCAGTAGAAATTACCCTATCACATTGTAAAAATATTGCAATATAATAAAATATAAATGCTGGTCGTTATTTTAAGAAGTTGACATGAATGAAAATTTTTCATTTCACTGTTAAACACTTCTATCTTCCCTTTTTTTTTCTTTTTTTTTTCCTCACTGAAACCAAGTAGTGTCTGCCCCCCCCCTCTTTTCACACAATCAAAATGGAATAGTCCATTATTTATGAGGTATTGGCAGGAAATGTTAAACACTTCTATCATTCCCTTTTTTCTTTCTTTTTCTGAAACCAAGTAGTGTCCTTTCCGCTCTTTCGCCTACGATCAAAACAGAATAGTCCATTATTTATGAGATATTGGCAGGGCGTAACGGTCGTGTGAACTAACAAAGGGAAGGACAAGCACAATTATAATAGGATTGTCACATCAAAATAACACAAGCTTAATAAACATTTTCTCTAAAATTATAGGTAATCATTTTTTTAAATAATGAGAGAAACGTACTAAAAACGTTCTTATTTTTTTTCAATTCCGCATACATCTCCAAATTCTGAATGTCTGGGATCAGGAGTTATTATCGTTTACATTGTACAAAACTATATGTTGCTCATTAGTACAAGTATTTATACAAAGTTATACATTGTTATCCATTATCGTAACTTTTAATTTTTCACACTTTAATGCACATATGACCATGACATTATAACATGAAAAAAATTCCATAAATGATAACTTTTTCATGTTCAAATGAACATTCAGCATACTGTCAACCATTTTGCTTCTAAAAGCATAATGAAAATATTACATAAATGGATAATGCATAACTTTGTACAAACACACATAATTTTGTATAAATACTTGTACTAATAAATGCATAACTTTGTATAATGACTTGTACTAATGAACAACATATAGTTTTGTACTACTTGCACCCCTGAAGATGATCTTAGAAGATTGAAAGTACTTGGGAAATGAAAATAAAAGGAAATTTAAACAGCTATAGCACATTTCTCTCATCCTTTAACAACAATACACAGAAGATTATTCGTGAGTATGAACAGATTTTATTAAAAATTAGCAGACATAATGTCTGTAATTTATTCAATATATATATTATTTTAAATTAGCCATATTTATAAGGGAAGAGTGCTCAATATCAAAGACAGAGCAATACCGTATATAGTCGAGTATAGTGTGAGTTTTGATGATTAACCTTTTAAAAATTAAAAAATAGGATGTCACACTATACACAGGTAATTTTCTTTTGAATAGGTTCAAAAATCATAAATTTTTGGGGACCAGTTACACTATACACAAGTAAATTCTATTTGGAGGATGTAGTTAAATGAGTCTCTATTCCTCGAATGTCATTTATACAATACAAGATACCACTTGTTCAATCCGCTGTTCTTGCATTTCACACACCTCACCAATGTAAAACCGTTCTGCCTTCTCACTGCTTCAGCCCTCTTTTATCAGGCCAACACTGCGGCTGACCAACCAATCAGCGTTCTTCACTTTTGTTCTCAGTTACCCAGGCAAATAGCCTCCTCCAGTCTGACCAATCACCAAACGACTTGCTACTAGTCATACCATGCCAAACTGTACAAAAAAAATCCCCATTAAAGCACATACTGCTGGAATAGTTTGACGGGAGTGTAATGCCATTTTCAAAGAACAAAATGCTGATGCCACATGCCGCACGTTGAGGTAAGACACTTATTTTCCTTTGCATTAATGAAAGCCACTCTGGCTCACTTGCTTCTATGTGACTGTTTACCACAGAGTGGTAAAAATTAATGCAAAATAATTCAGAGGTCACACTATACATGAAATCAACTTATACACAAGTATATATGGTAGATATAGTCAGTGTATACATAGGAATCAACATTGCATGATGACTGTTAGTTTTATGCATCAGACAAAGTGCTACAACTACATTTTCATGACAATGATGCAATCATTGCCATTGTGAAAAAGTAGATTGCCTTTATTAGTGCAGATGTTTATAAAGTGCAGCATGCATTCACTTGTTCATTGCTGCCAATGGCAATGTTGAAAAATAGTTTTGCAACTGAAAAATTGCATGGTGCTATGGCAGAAGTTGAACTTTCCTGTATTACACACCGCATAGTATGGATTTGATCCCTTCATCTTTCATCTCTTACAGTTAATGAAGGATGGACTATACGAACTATATTTTCCTGACAAAGATTCAATCAATACGACTGTGTTATGACATCAAAATGATCCTTTGTTGCCACTTTTATAATGTCAATGTACACTTGCTGTATACTTCATCTAAACCAAAATAGTAGAGTCTTTGTAATCACATATACCAATTACAATACACCACTGACCAATACTGGTCAAACGACTTTGGCTAATACTTATAATAATAGTACTTTGTATAGTGAGTAAAAAGAGTAGAATAGAATAACGGTATGACTAGTAACAGAAGATAGAGGAGAGCGAACACATCATACATCATGGGATTTCCTCTATATATGCATTTCCGCTACAGACATGTGATCTACCTAATTCAATAATGAGATCACATGCATTTGTTCACTTGCGATCTACATTCAAACACAAGTGTCAGCAGTGACACTTTATTCCTATATAACAAACTGTGCAAAAGAGGTTTGCCTCTGTTGGTACAGATTTTTACGAGGTGCAACATGCAGTCACTTGTTAATTGCTGCCAATATCAATGTTGAAAAATAGTTTTGTAACTGAAAACTTCCAACATGCAGTAGAGGTTCACCCTTCCTCCCTTATCTACCTCATATTCTGGATTTGGTCCCGTCACTTTTCATCTCCTAGCATTAAAGAAGGATTTTTATGACGTGCAACATGCAGGTGCTGGTGAGGATAAATTGGAAAAGAGTTTTGCAACTGAAAAATTGCATGGTGTTATGGCAGAAGGTGAACCTTCCTCCATTACACACCACATAGATGAAGAGACCAAATGCAGACTTTCATCTATTACAGTTAATGAAGGATGAACTCTAGGGACAATATTTTCCTGACAATGATGCAATCATTACGACTATAAAAATAAGGCTTGCCTCTGTTGGCGCAGAATTTTATGAGGCGCAAATGCAGACACTTGTGCAAAATACATAACTAGTGATTGCAATGTAGAAAGTTATTGTTTTGTAGTTGAAAATTTGCCCTATCGAACAGTGTCATTGTGCAGATTGGACAACTGAAGAACGCTTTAGAGTCGACGAGGCAAAATGTTTTCATAACAAAGAACTATGACTAAATCAATAATCCGAATCATTCTTGGAATGATAATGACTTCTCAAAATTACAGAAGGCATCTTCTATACACAACAAAAGAAGGCTAGAATTGATCAACCAAAATATTATAATAGCAACACAAAAAATGAGATCAATGGTCCAAATAACTCTTGGAATGTTTATGTCTCTCTTAAAAATTACTGCAATATTAAACCTTATCCTTCCCTTTACAGGGCCAACAAAAAGATTGTCTCACTCTCTGAATTTATGAGATGAAGATTTATCATTACATATGTCATTTACATTCAGACTATTATCCTCATATTTGTTGTTATTATTACAACTATTCAAATACCCGTCTTATGAACATTTCTCTTAATAATAATTTTAAAATAATCCAACAATGTTATTTTATTTATGGTAACTGGATTTTGTGCAGTTAACTTAATTGGTTTTCATTAATCGATATTGTGCATCTGAAAAATGGCACATTATCACAGTCTCCATCAATTCTCATCCTTTTGGCTAAGATCATAGAGTTGTATCTGTTCTTATCAGCTTAATTTAACCTTTACCACACTGTAGGTGACAATAGTCGCCATAGAATTGTCTCCCTTCGCTACTCTAGGCGCATTCTATCACCTTGAGATGGTTGCTATAAATAAACACTTGTCAACTGTTATTTCCAGTATTTTAAGCTGGAAATCAGTTACTACTGATTTGGAACAAGGCTAAACTTTTGTTTTCTGATGGCATTTTGAATTCTTCTAGACTCTACACAAGGTGTAACACCGATAATTTTTTTTGTAAACAAAAATGGCCACATTATTATCCAACAAAACATGCATGCAAAACGTAATGAATTACATCAAAACATTACTCATTCATTCTTTTATTAGCATACAAAAATTAACATCTATACACACAATACAAAGAAAGTTATAACAATTTTAAAACATGTGTTCATGTTTTTGCACCCTCAAAAAAAAAAAAAAAATGCAGTGGCAGGGGAGACAACTCTAGAAAGAAATTAGCATGGTAAAGGTTAATTCTCTCTCAACTTTTATCTTTCTTTGATTTTCTCACTGAAACCAAGTAGTGGTTTTTCCCCTCTTTCCAAATGATCATAATGGAATAGCCCACTATTTATGACGTATTGGCAGGGTGTAATGGACGTGCAAAATAACAAATGGGGAGGAGGACATGCACAATTATAACAGGATCTTTCAACTATTGGAAATCTTCATTCCGAATGTACCTTCCCACTGCACTAAGTTGTCACATAGAAGACAGAAAGGTGAAAATACAGATATAGATTCATCACTTACCAGGTTACGTCGAACATTATAGCCGCAGGACAGTTTGGGGAAATGACCCTGAAAAAATAATTTAATGTTAAAAGAAGTGTTTATCTGATTTTGTTCACATATTAGCAATCAAGCAAAAATCTAGAAGGGAAAAATAAAATATAGATATATTACAATTTGACTGTATCTTTTATTGTCTAAACAAGGAAACATTTGACAGGATATAAGAATTGGAATATAATGATCTTCTATCAATATAATAAATGCGAATATCACTGCGTCACACATTTTCAACTTTACTCCTAGAGACCGTAGCCCAACATATCATAGCATTTTGGAATCAGACCGACTCTGTGAGCAAATTTAAAACATTCCGGGCAAAATCCAGGCCTGCAATCTGGAAATTTTGCATTTCCAAGTTTTCATTACTGTAATTGTTTTCAATGGTTTTTTTATGTGATTTTTTGTACGATAACAATTTTTATAACTTGGAAATAAATTTGGGTATAATCGAAATTAATTGCAAAATCTAGTGAAAGTTACCCATGAAATAAAAATAATTGTTTGTACAGAAAGTAAGGCCCTACATACATCAAATTGTCTTTAAATTAAGTGGCAGCAGAAGAATTATCGTTGAACTTTTAAAAAGTAAGCTTAGATATTAATGCAATATTCAAATGCAGCGATCAATTTTGAGTTCTGTAGTTTATTGTTACCTATTGCATCTACTCCTCTCTAACTATTGTGATGAAGGTCTAATCAAGAGCCCACCAGAGGAGCTAGTTTAAATGCCGCCTGAGAGGGCAGCTATTAAACTAGTAGTATTAACCAACTAGTTTTTATATATGACTTAACTGCAAGATCCAGTGGCCTTTATTAAAATTATGCTATAATTCAGCTTGTTTTTATGCATGATCATTACACTATCCAATCTTGGATCAGAGTGTAGTATCTGTGTCTGATCTCCAACCTATTGATCTATACTATTATAAAGTTTGTTTATATGTGTGACTTTTACTTTTCTACATAGGATCAGAGTGTAATATCTGGGCCTGATCTCTGGCTCTTCTTGGATGGAATCATTTACACTTTCTATACAGGATTCTATATTATTATCCTGCTTGTTTGTATGTACAATCATTAAGCTTTTCTTCCAAGAATAATAATGATCTGAACATTTTTACCACTGAACAGTATTCATACTTTCTGGCCAAGAAAAGGAATTGGAAAAAATTAAATAAGAAAAAACGGAATTCCCATCAGCCCAGGTCATCTACAATATCAATTTTCTAATTTCTTCTTGAATTCCTATTAACCTGCCATTACTGACAGGATTCGTAAGGCAGGAGACAATAAATTCATCACAAAAATCATTAATCTAAATATATCAAAGGCCTATGATAAGGTGTGGCATCAGGGGCTGCTACATAAACTTTCCACCTATAGATCCTCTGGAAGGGCTTTCTCAATTATTGAAACCAAAATTAGTAAGATCAAGACAGTTTGATGGAGCATTTTTAAAAATATTAGGGCCCTTTTGAAACAAAAAATAGATTTGAAACCATCACTATTATGGTTGTAGACTGTATAAAAAGTCATGGTTTTGTAGGAACTGATTTGATAAAATTAATAGCACATGTTTACTTAATGCTATGAAAACAGAAAGTCCCAAAACTGGGACATTAAAAAAACTATAAAGTGAACCTTAAGCTAAAAAGAAATATCAATCCATCATATTTTGAAAGCCATAGGCTTCCCATTAACATAAATCCAATGGTAGTTGATAAGCTGCATAATATGGTGGAAGAAGACATTCTTTAATATGTAGATCCTGGAGGTAGCAAATGGGCATCACCTATTGTGGTTTTAAGAAACCCGAAGGTGATTTTAGAATTTGCAGAGATTACAAAGTAGACATAAATCGTAAGATTTGTTTGGATTCCTACCCTATTCTAAACATAGAAAACATATATTCTCTGGCAGGAATGAAATATTTTATGAAAATTGATTAAAAAATGCGAACCACCAAATTCAAATAGATGATGGAACTAAAAGAAAACGCAACAATAAATTCTCCCATAGACTCACTTAGGTCGTCCCACTTACCATTTGGAATTAAGATGGCCAGCTTGATTTTTCAAAAAGACTATGGAAAATTTGTTAGTGGGGAGAGTAGAAAGAGTACTACTGAACAGTATGTTTAGGTCGGGGCCACTGAAGAACTGAAACAAAAACCTAAATTTGTAATGGATAAGTTGAGGAAGGGCAGGAATGATGATAAACAAAGATAAGTGTGTATTCAATTGCAAAGAATTAAAATTCTTGGGTTACCACATTTCAGAAAATAATACTTTGCCGGAGCAGACGTCAATACAAAATATTAAATGTATCTGTTCTAACTAATAAAAAAGAATTGTAATCATTTCTGGATTAGCCAATTTTTATAGCAAATTTGTGTCAAAATATTCTAAGGGAATTAAAGTGTTTTCTGACTTGCAGAAGAAGAATTAGGAGTTTGAATGGATTAGAACACACCAAATAGCCTTCATTAAATTAAAAGAAGCTCTATCTAAAAAAAACGTGGTCAAGATTTTTGACCCTAAAAAGGACATTACATTAACTACAGATGCGAGTAGCCAGTCTGTATCGGCAATTTTATCTCAGGAAGGACACCTGGTGATTGATGTACCTTTCCAGGACATTGACACCAGCTGAATTGAACTACTTTGAAATGTGAAAAGGAAGCACTTGAGTATCAAGACAATTTTTATTATTTTTATCGATTTATATTCCATCCTAGGAAGGAATTGCTGAAAGTTACATCATCCAGAATATTAAGATGGGCTATGAAGTTAATGGCTTTTGATTATGATATAGAATAAAATATAGAAATCTATAGAAAACACAATGCTACACATAGACACATTGTCCTGACTACAATTTGAAAAGGAACAAAATGATAAAAACAAAAAATTTGAGGATGAATTTTTGCATTGGGAGGAAACGGATGGGTTGCTCATGAATAGACTAGTTATGGAAACATTACACAATCTAGTCTTAAGTCGAATTTTATCTAGAATAAGGAACAATAAATGAAGTAATTGTTTAAAAGCAGAAAGACCATACAAAGAAATCAGACACAAACTATCAATAGAAAATGGTCTAATTTGTAGTGAGGATTAAGTTGTACCAGTGGAAAAATGTAGAAAAGTAATTAAAATGTACATGAAATACTCATGAAACCAAAGAGAGATGTGAGAGAATGTAGGAGAAGCTGCAGATCCACAGAGGGTGTGAAACCCCAAATATTCAGGGAGATGTAATGAGATTGGTTTAGCTAATAGGTAATTAGCATAAATAAAGCTATAACTATAGCTCACTGGCAATTTTAAGTCAGAGTATGTAGTATACTACTACTCATGACAGGAACAAATGGATTCAAGCTTTTGTCTAAGTCACAAAATGCACAACATGATGAAGTTTGGTAGGCTACAATGTATAATATCAGGTCAAAGTGATTTACGTACCTCAATTGTAATACAGCAAGATGGGGGTACACCACAAGCTCTCTCTCCTTTAGCACTGCATTTGAATAGATTGTTGAATTCGTAATCTTGGTAAGAATCAAAGCCACAACACTGCCACTGAAAACAAAAAGTAATACAAGAACAATGAAGAAACTAACCCTACATCAGGTATGTATAGAAGTTGTCAAAACTTTTTATTTAAAAAAAAAAAAAAAAAAAAAAAAAAAAAAAAGAGGTTGATAGAAACTTTTGCACGCAATTAATACATAGACCAGGGGTGGATGATTTTACGCAAACTGCGAAAGCATAAAAAACATTATTTTTTTTTTTTTTTATTAGGTTGTCCCAAAAATTCGTAAACACTTGCGAAAAATTTAATTTTTTTGCAACACAATCCAGCACAATCGAGACAAGCGATGGGTTCAGAAAGGGCAAGACACCGTTGTTTCAAAAAAAAGATCAATTCGGCAAGAAAGTCATATTGTGCGTCTGGTGGAACTTTGAAGGAATCGTGCATTTTGAGTTGGTTCTGAATGGTCGTGCCATCAGTGCCGAACTTTACTGTCAGCAACTGTAGCGGGTCTACGAAAAGTTGAAGCAAAAGTACCAGGCTCTGATCAATCGAAAACACGCTTTGATGCAGCAGGACAATGCCAAGCCACACACCGCCAGGAAGACCAAAGACAAGTTTGAAGAGCTGGACGGCGTTGAGGTTCTGCCACATCCAGCCTACAGTCCTGACTGTGCTCCATTAGATTACGGCCTTTTCCGTTCAATGCAACACTTTCTGAAGGGCCGCCAATTCGACTTGTTTGATGAAGTTGAAGAAGTGTGTCAAGATTCGAAGCCGGCTGAATGGTACTTTCACCAGATCCGAAAGCTTGGAGATCGATGGCAGAAAGTCTTGGAAAATGATGGTCTTTATTTTGAGGAATGATTTTTGTTGTTTTTGTTATTACTTGGCGAGTAAAATTTCAATTTTTTGCAAGTGTTTACGAACTTTTGGGACAACCTAATAGATATCCATTAAAAACATTTAGTATGTTTTTGTTACATTTTACACAATCACAAACATATAGAGTCTCACCTCTTTATTCCATGGCATTTCATATGGTTTGGCACTTTTTTTCTTTTAAACATTCACTATTACTTCATTATTGGTTGTGGGGATAGTACCACATGTTGCTTACAACTTTCTGCAGCAGTCAACAGCAGCAGAGTGTTTTGGTTATGCAATAAAGGAAAGAATACTGAGCTGTTACGTGACATCTGTCCTTCTTTACGGCAGCGAATGCTGGATGATTTCCTCAAAGATGAAGAAGAGACTCGAGGCGACGGAGATATGCTTCGACAGAAGGATGCTACGGATATCATAGACCGAGTGTGTGAGTAACGATGAGATCTTAGGTTGCAAACAAGGAGGGGGCTTATACTTAATATCAGGAAGAGGCAGCTGAAGTTTCTGGGACACATAATGAGGAAGGAGGGTCTGGAGAATCTGATACTCACATTTTAGAGGGAAAGAGGGACAAGCTGGCGGGCTTAAGCAAGTGGATGACAGAATGTGGTCTGGGGGAAAAAGAAGAGAGAAGGAACTTGTTGAGAGCTGCAAGGGATAGGAGGAGGTGGAGAGCCATGATCGCCTATGTCCTGAAAGGACATGGCACATAAAAAGAAAGAAGATCTTGCTGATATCTTATATATAGCTGCATATTTACTACTGAGAATAGTAAGTATATATTATTTTTTGGTTTAAGGTTGTTTTTAGCCTTTGTATTTGTTGTAACCTACGGAAGGTTACTGAATAGAATAATCACACAAAAGTTGGTAATGAATGATAATATTTAGGACAAGAACAACACATTAAGATTCATCAGTGGCATGTAAAAGTAGTCAACTGCTAAAAGTGAGTCAAGTGAATTCTACAATGAATCTCCAAATATCTACCAACCACCTCACGCGGTCAGATGTAGCACAAGGCCAAATTTAATGTGGGGTATCTGAGCCCGTAGGCTTGGCCAAAAATTCCCTGTAGACCCTGTATAAAACAGGGTTCGCTGGCTGTTTACTGAGATGAGACTGCTCAGAGAGCATCCCCAGCACAGCTGGAGACGAATGACCAGCATAGCTGGAGACGAATGACCAGCATAGCTGGAGACGAGTCTTCAAATGCAGACCAACATACAGTATTTACTATTCTATTTATGTGAATGAGGACACACCCATTATCGTCTGTAGGTACACTAAAACAGTATTGCATGAAACAATAAAAACCTTGCTTGGAAGAGTTAATGATTATTTTTTTTCCTATTTTAATCTTTGTTCTACCTTTTTCCTAACATAGCAAAATGTTGAATGAGCTGGCAAGTCTATGTTTGCATAGAAGTTTTTTTTTTTTGCAGTGATTTCTGTCATCTGGCATTTTCTTAGTCCGGCAGTAGCCTCGTACAAGAGTGCCGTATTTTTTTATGACTCTTGATATTATTTGTTCCTCAAACAATATTTGGCAGAATCATGTCAGGCTCTGATAATCTCATCAGTAGGCTAAGCATAGAATTAAAACCACAGAAGGAAAAAGCAAACATAAGATTAAAGATTTTATCTAGTGACCATGTGTTCAATCAAGAGTCAGGTATTGAAATCAATATACAGGATTCAGGGGAAAGGGCTGAAATTACATTGCAGGAGCTGATTGGGAGGGGGATATAGAGGGTGTTCACTGACTGAGCAGCCAGTACTATCTTTGGTTGAAATTTATAAAATCTTTCTTTTAAATCAAATTTTCAGGAAAATAGGTTTATCAAATCTAGTAGCTGTCATTGCTTTTCCCACTACTGATGGGGGTTTCCTTCCTAACCTTTTGTTTGAAGTAATGTGGAATGCCAACATCTTCATTATGTCATTATTTTCTCTTTGAGTTACATGTTCTATCCATTTTCATTGTTACTTCTGTTGGAAGTCCTCAAGTGATGTGCTTTCTCTTATTTGGTACAGTTCTTTCTTTGTGATTCTGTAACACCAGTTCACAATGTTCAAAGAAAGATGATCTTTGCCAAGACCCCTAGACGACAAAAAGCAAGAGATGAAAACAAAGAAATGATAATAATCTTACCGCAGTCTGCAGTCTATCCATAGATTTCTGTACACTCGCGTTGGAGTCATATTCTATGATTGAAGCCTTCAACTCTGAGGAACTTAGTGACATTTGGATCTAAACAAGAGATAAAGAGAAAATAAATATTATACATATAACATTCATTCTTTGTCAGTAGCTTTTCAACAGTAAAATCATTTATAGGTTTCTACAATTAATGCTTATTTGTTTTTTTTTTTAATCATTTCACCCCAAACAAGGCTATAAAGCCACTAAGATGCTAGGGGTTACCAGGTGTTAGAGAATATGAGAAAAAGAAAACATTATTAAGGAAAGGGAACAATAAAAGAACATGAATTAATGAGACAAAAGATAACAACTGACATTGCATTTAAATTTTTGAAGAGCAAAGTGGTATTCAAGAACCCAGAAGAAAGAACATGCATATATATATATATATATATATATATATATATATAATAATGCAGGTGTCTCTCAGGGCTCTATCACTGACCTTCCTGATAGCATCAGCTCTCAACTTAGTATCTACACTGATGACACAACCATTTACTCCTGTCTCGATAGTGTGATCAATTCGATAAGGGCAAATTAGCTGCTGATGTCCAAAACTACCATTAGTCTGTTGTTAACTAGGGCAAAGAATGGCTTGTTAATTTTAATGCCTCCAAAACTAAATTCCTCTCTATTCACCATCTGAGAGAACGCTTTTAGTTTTCCATGAGCATGGCTGATGCTAACCTCCAAGAGAGTGACCCATTTCGGGCTAACTTTCTCGACTGACATGAAGTGGAAAGACTATACTGAATCCATTGTTAGGTCAGCTGCTAAGAATGTTGGTTCACTGTGTCATGCTAGACAAGTTTTCTCTCCAGAATCTATATTACACATATAAGTCCACCATTTGTACATGCTTAGATTATTACTGCTACATATGGATTGGTGCTCCTGCTATTTATCTAGAGCTCTTTGATAAAATCAAAAAAAGAATCAGCAATATTACTGGCCCCGATCTGTCATCTCAGTTTCAGTCACTTTCACACCACTGTAAAGTTGCATCCCTGTGCCTTTTCTTGAAATAATACATGGCAATTGTTTGGATGAGCTCTACACTATGGTACCTAGATTTTTTTAAAATTTAAGCATGGTATGAGGCTAGTGACAAGATCTCATCAATTTGAAGTAAGTTCTATGCTATGTTTCTTTTCTCACACTTCTTGCTTGTGAAACTCTCTTCCAGCTTCTATGCTTTCCAGTCAACTTTAATCTGCAATAATTTAAATGCAATGTCAATCGCTATCTACTGCCCTCCTGATTATTCTTCTTTTGTTCTCGCTCCTTAGCATACGTTTCCGTTTTCTAATTTTTCCACACCCAGTAACTCTTTGTTTCTTAGTGGCTTTATTGCCTTGCATGGGATGAACTTGATTAAAAAACAAAAATAAAAAAAATAAAGAATAAACAGATAAATACATTTTTAATTAAAAAACAAATTTTTACATAAATTAATAAAAGTATGTATCTGTTTATTCTTTATTTAGGATATGTAATTATGAACTGCAAATGTTTGTGCATGTGCTGCTGGAAAATCCCATACTGAAATCAGTTTTTAAAAAAATTTGAACACGTTAAATAAAAATATGGCCTTAGCTGTGATTGAATTGATTTCTAT